TTGATTGACTGTGCTTATATGTTCGATATTTATCTACTGTTTTGAAAATTATATAATTGTTTTTGCATGTCACCGTTTTTTTTTTTTTTTTTTTCATCAATGTTCTTTTTATTTATTTATTCCTCTCCGATCATTTTTTATTCGATCCATGTGCTTAAAATTAACAAAAATGATTTAATAATTCATACAAATAAAACAACAAATGATAAGAATGAAAATCAACAATTTTATAACGTTCGACTTCCATATAATTTTGAAAAGTGCCGTACGGCTAGACAATACGTACAGTGCGTCCTGGCTAGTCGTTCGTGACTCACGTATGGCTAGAACTTTTGGCTAGCCGTACGTTTCTTTATTTTTATTTTTGATATTGTTACGTATTTTGAACCATACAAAATCTCCTCTACAACTCCTGTGAAAATTAAATTGTCTGGTCAATACTTTATTATATTAATAGTTCCTTACGATTCAACTAGATTTATCATGAATCTAAAGATGTGGGGAAATGACATCACGCGCACCTGTTTTTATACGGCCAATACACAAACATGGCCGCGCTTACTGATTTGTAGAAATCGGTGATTTAGCGATTTAAATTTTGTTATCATTCGTTTAATATTATTATTTGGCGGCAGAAAATTTGCAGACTTATTATTTATAGTATTCTCTTTCTGAAATCAAGTTTTTATTCTAACCTTGTCTTTCCCTTTAATATAAATATCTAATATGTTTTAAACAATAAAATAACATTCCACATTGAGTAAACTGAAAATCATTTGGAGAATGATTTTAGTATTTAGGCGAACAACATATAAACATTAGTTATAAGTGTATGCAGACTAGAAAAGTTACAAAATTGGTTAGTAACAAGTTAATGTGGGCTAGAATAACTTATAGTTCGTGTTGTCGGGTCAGTGATTTCTTTTACTAACTATTTATTTCATATATTAAATTCAAAATTAAAATGACTTAATTTTTCTTGATTTTTGTATTTATTTATTATATAATAATTTATTTCATTTTTTTGTTTCTTTTTCATTGAATATTAAATATAAAATTTTTATTAGAGTAATAAAAACATGTATATCACTTGTGTATTACGTTATTGCTTATATTAATATAATAAATGTTTTATGCTATTTTGCATTTTTTCGTGCACTGACATCGCCATGAGTAAGAGGCAGACGCCTCGATTTACAGTATTTTCCTCGGGATAATATATTAAGTATTTATTGTTTTTTACAAAGCGGTGTATTATTTCTACGATAACATCTCATCTGTTAAAAGGATCAATCGCACAAACAAAAACTGTCGTGTCCTTTGAAGCGTTTGATTGTTGTAGCGAAGTCTCAATTCGTTTTAGATTTTAATCCATTATGTAATTCAATACCTTATTTAAAGTGTCATTATGCCTATCAAAGTTTAAATAGATAGTAATTGTACAGGCTAAAGACAAAATAAGTTTACTTTTTGCAATAATTGTGTTCAAATAATGTTTTACTATGCAAAAATAATAAATAATCCACCTGACCCACGCAAATTTATATTATATCGTTTCGAATGTATCGGTAACGGTCATTTTATCAAGAAATGAGTCGGACAGTCCTTTTAAAAGTAAGGTAGTTTTATGATTGATTCTAGTCATTTTAATCATAACGTATTGTTCAATCACCAAAATAATAGTGAATATTTTGAAACAATTATATAATTTAACTTAACTTGGGGGCGAAAAAAAATGAATATAATGTCACCTTACACCTGTCTCACAGGACCAATACAGTTTGACACCTTGAAATAAGTTATAATCGTTTTATCCACTGTTCATTTTCTTCTGACACCGTTCTATTAAAGAAGAAAATTTCATATAAGCTTTAAGCTTTCCTGATGCAATTTATGTATTGTAATTTTGTCTTTAAATATCGAAGAAGAAATAAATATTGTTTAAACCAACCAATAGTAAAGTTTGTATGTTTATTCAGAAAATATTATATACTCGTACATAATTGTCAAAGGGGCTGCATGAAGATATTTTATATAAAGCCCGGTAACAGTAACTCATACGTATGTTCACATGTCTCCAATTATCATAAGAACTATAATTGTTCTGTTCGTTGGTATATCGATTGTTGTGATATTGTATGCGTCGGTTGCTTACTATGAAACCTTACATGTACCTTTAGAAAAGGGTTTAAAAGAATTATGGAATTGTCCTACACATCTAAATTGGGTTCCTGATACCGAAACATTTGCACCATCTACAAAAGGCGTATCGAAGATCTTTAGCCGACACAGGTCTTCACTGAATTAAACAAATTTTTGACATGTTAAGATATCTGATAAAAGTTTTATTCGTATTATAATCGTATGTCATTATATAAGGTAAATTATTATAGCGTGTTATTCTATTAAGGATTTATTAGTAATTAAAAACACTTTAAAGCTATAAGAACAGCATAGCGGGCTGTTTGTCCGTTTGACATTAATTTTTCTAATTGTATTTTAATCTATTTTTTTAGAAACTTAATAGTGACATAAATAGGATTTTTTTGTTATTCAAAGAGATTTTCTTTTGTTAACAAGAAATCAATACACGTAACATTACCTTGTTTATCAAAATATAATATCGAAATATGTGTGTTACTTTACTGGTTGATACGTTAATACCCCCGCAAAGGTATTCAAACAGTATCTTTTTTAGTCCTTACTAAAGTCTTGTATTGTCTTTTTGTTTTTTATATATACTATAGGGGGAATAAGATATGTGGCCTGCTTTCTAACATTGTCTTTTGATGTCTTATCTGTGATATACAGGCTTTGTAACCTCTGATCCCCTTTCAAAACTCCATTCTGTTTTGTTCCGCCTATTGAATTCTCGTTTAAGGCACACACCTTTTATTACTTGAGGACCATACTCCGCTTTTCATGGAATGAATTAGATACCGACACATCGCCAAATATGTTTGCAGTTAACGTACTTGTTATATTAACCTTTTAAATAGTAGGCTGGTTCTGACTGCAAACACTGTCGCTTAAATGCAGTCATCTCATCTTATTGACACACACACAAATATATATATATATATATATATATATAAGATAGGAAAGAATATACCATGTTTTCGCTGTATTGGTAATGATGTAGTTACTAACGAGGTAGTATCAAGCGAGTGAAACAGCAACAAGAATTATTGTCACATGAGCTTCTCAAGAAATTAATTAGTGTTGATACTTCCATATAAAAATATCCCCTCATTCTTCATTATAGAAATCAACTGCATAATACATGTTGTGCATGTCGGATCATTTCCGAATTGTTACTTGCATTCACAAATAACAATATACAATTTGTTGTTTTTACTTAGACATCCAATAAATAAACTGCAATATTGGAGGTATATTCATCGTTGGCGGTATATTTCATTAATATGAAAAATATATTTGAAAATTAAAAACTTTATACCGATTTAACATATAAATCACTTATTTGAAATTACTGTGAGTACCGGATAAATTTGTTTAAGATGTTTCTCGATATTTTCCTTTCAATTCACCGTATGCCCAAATTTGTGCCCCCCCCCCCTTTTCTTTCGTCACACCTTCTCCCAACTATTCTCGTATAGGCTCTTTTAGTTCTTATTATTTCACTTATTACGTGTTCCTTCCCTCCATCGCAACCCTTGTATCCTTTAAGTTTTTGGTTCGGTGCCTTCAGGGTGACCTTCTGCTGTGGTTGAGTTGTTTCGGGAGCTGCGCTCGGTTAATGTTGCCTGGCCTTGCTTATTATTCTCATCTTTAACGGGGTTGTCAACGTTATTGGTGGTCTCGTTACTTGTGACAAAATTTATGACTCAATTATGAGTTTTAAAAGCAGTGTAAAATAATTCGTAGGAGGAAACATGGTTAAACAGAACTTATAAAACTGGGAAACTGAACTAGAATTTGGAAGAACTCAAAACTTTGAGAAACATAAAAAAGTTTGTTTTCGCAATTCCTTTTGATAAATTAAGAATAAGCCGCATATATTATTTCAGAGGAACCATTTACATAATTTTTCATAGCCGATAAGATAAGTTTTAAATTTTGAAATGACCAATGAAGATGAATTTAAGTATATGCAGGTTTTTCCTGTAAATTTTACAAAATATCAAACTGATATAAGACGGCCTCTGGACGACAAAAACACCATTTTATCTCTCTTGGCAACTAGCTGTTTGTCCACAGTCCCCGTTATATCCTTGACATCATTCACGATACATTATATATTAAAATAGAGAAAACAAAAATCCCCAAAGAACGCCATTAACAACAAAATTGAAAATATTGCAGGCTCGGTTTGATTGAGCATGCTCATTAACTGTAGTGGAACGTTCTTGCAACCGTCTACGCCCCTAGCACTGGCTAAAGCAGCATTGTATATCTAAACGTGGTAATAGAGAAATTTTTAGTTTCAAAACATCCGCATGTGATCATAAGGCGGTTATCATGACACCTTCAATGTGATACTTTCGTGCCATTACATGAAAAGCAGCGTATATGGTCCTCAAGTAAAAGAATGCATGTTCCTTTCCAACAAAAAAAAAAAAAACAATGAGCGTAACGAAACAAAATGGAATTTGAAAGAAGATCTGATGTTATGAAGCCTGCATATCACAGATAAATCTTCAAAAGACAAATTAAAAAAAGAACAAAAAACCCTAAGGATGATTTAATAGTACTCATGTAAGAACATATTGGAACCACCCATCCAGAAAGAAGGATCAATTAGAATGAACTTCATCACCATAAACATGCACACACAGCCATAATGTCGTGCTGAACGATATTAAGTGATCGAAAATATAACAACTTTGATTAAATGTACGGGCCTCTATGTCACATTTATGTTTTAATATTTTGGCAGCATTTAAATTTTGAGAAATGAATAGCCCACCTCTGACATGGCAGAAAAGTATAAGTTAAGATTATTTACCAATGTGAAATCCATAAATCAATCATGAAGACAATATACTAGTATTGTTAGGGATATGTTTTGCACATGTTATAGTTTTAGACAAAGGGAGGAATATTCATATTACATTTTAATCACTTACAATTGTTACGATATACTTTTGTTTTTTTTTATTTTTGTCATAATGTGTTTCCTTATCACGTTTGTTAGTCTACGTCCTTCAAAACTGTATAATTGTTGACTTTGGAAACTATGAAATTAAATTGGTATACAAGAGTAACTTTTGTAAACAATGGATTAATTTAACAGTGATATCAAAATTAAACAGGGTAAATTTAAATTGCGATAACAAATACATCATGATCGTGTGTTCTGTCTGATTATATTGCTTGAAGTAAGTGCGATTTAATTTAACCACTCTTTTAAAGAATAGATTTTTTAAAATGTTTACCACTTTTCTTCTTATTCTGTTGTTGTTTATACCTAGGGGTTGCAGTGAGAAAAGTACGTAGAACTTGGTAACAAATATTCTCTATTTAAGGTAACAGGATTTAAAGGGATACCTGCTCAGGACATAATATTCTGTTCTCTGATCTGCTTGACAGTCAATAAAATCAAATTGCAACATGCCACGCGTGCATTTAATAATTATAGAGGATATCTTATGATTGTAGGTTTAGTAATGCATTTATTGACCAAATTGTATAAAATAATATTATGTGAACCTCTGATCTGAAAGATCGAGAATGTTTAGAGAAAGTTATCAACTGTCAATAACCTTTATATATACCAACTTCATTGGTTGTGCATTTGAAATCAACTGAATAACCAGTTTTAAGTTGATGGTATCAAAGTCTACACTCTTTTACAAAATTTGCAGTAGGCTATAATAACTAAATGACCGTCGTTTACTTGTTTTGCAAAAAAAAAAGCTTTTCATAAGATCATATTTTTAATTCGTAATTTTTCTCTATGCTTTTTGCATATATTTCACGAAGTCTCTATTTTTATCGGATTTTTATTTATCTAAACCAGCTTTACACAGTCTTGTTCTCCTGTGTGACGTTAGAAGTGTCATTGTAGTCATATTTTTGCGGTATTTCATAAGCGTTGATTATATAAATTGAGCATAAAAGAGATGCTTTAGCGTTCTATAAAAGATTTATTTTTGAATATAAAGACTAAATTTGGTACTAATAATTGATTTATGATTTTTTTTTTGGTGAATACCATTACAACAAACAAACTGCTAAAATATATATTATCTATTTAAGCTTGATAACTAAAAAGATCAGCATAACGTAAATATATAAGTATAATTATGCAAATTTAAATGATTTACAATACATCCGGAACGTTCGACCATTTTTCAAAATGTCGGACAATTCCTGTTGGTATGTAATAAAGTGCAGATTTTTCAACTAAATATGCATCTTAAAATTACATAAATAGTCATGTAAAAATGGAACGAAACGTTTCTTTAACAAACAAAAATGTCAATTCAAATTATTAATAAAATTTCATTTTTTGCATGACAGATCTACGTTTATATGAATAGATAGTCCAAGTATTTTTTTGCCAATTGATGCTGAATTATGTACTGACAAAACTATGGTGTCAGATTCCTGCCATTTCGTGCTTTTTTATTTTGTTGCGGTTGAAAAAAAAACCTTCTGACAACCCCCTGATGTATCTTATGGATTGGGGGCGGCGCCGAAAAAGTAGACACTTATTTAAGCAACTTTTCTCAAACAAAAGCAAGTGTTGGGGGCCTTAATAACTAAAGGCTTTTTTCACCATTTGAGACAACAAATGGGGGGAAGGCGTTAAAAGGCGTGTATATCCGGTAATGGGTCAAATAAAACACTACTTGCTGATGAAAATAAAGAAAACTGATAAGAAATTAGAAAAATTTATAAATGATAAAAAACAGCTTTAGGATAAATATATAACCCTTGAACGGCGTTAATACGAAACAAAATATGAGAGAGCAGATACGTAAACAATACCACTTTTGATTGCCACATTATAGCGACAAAAAATAAAACAAATAAAATCTTAAAAAATAAAGAGAGCAACTAAGCGATTAATATTTGTATTATTCTATTTAATTGACCCTTTGAAAATGTCTTTGATCTTGAGAGAAAATATCTTCGTTGTAAAAAGTCCTTTGTAAACACTTGATTTTGCAAAGAAATGGTGTAATTAAAATTGGCATATTAAAATCAAATTATTTCTTTATATTTTGTTTTGTTAATACACCTTTGGAATATATACTTCATCATTATATATAAAGATACGTGTCTATCATATCTAAAAAAAAGTAACGTCAAACATTTTATGAAACTTTTATTACTTGTTACGAAATTAAAGACTTTTTCTTTAAAATATGATAAACAAGATCAACAAAGAAAGCCGCTTTAAAGCCGCTGATGAAGCAAAAAGGTCCCTTACACGTAAATGAATTCCCTGCCGCATGTTTATTGCTTGATTATTAGATTATTATAAAAGGAATGTCAAGATGTAATGAATCGGCTTTTCTTTCTCAGACCCCTATGTTTTACGCTTGATTATTGCATAACAAACAAATATCGCACCAGACGGAGTCACAATATTCGGTAACATACTCTAACATCCCTTTATGACCCACTGTCATCTGACCAATAAAACTGCTGATAAGTATAATTTTATATCAGATTTTTTTCCAAATCTTAACGCTGTTCGCTGTCCGTCTGGTATCTGTCCCAACTGTTACGTGACTATCAGTAAAATTTAAGGCATTGCTGGGATGGAACACATTTACCGTGCGTACAACATGAAGGGTATTTAATTATTATTATTATTATTATTATTGTTATTATTGTTATTATTATTATTATATATCATGTCACTCTGCCTGTGTATTCGTGTATGAAATTCCATTAAAATTTATATTACAATTTAAGGACCTTTAAATTTAAAGGCTTCTTTAGCATTACTTGTTTTATATAATTATGTTTTGACCACTTTATTATCAACATCATAAATATCAGTTGCTATCTTAATTTTTATGGTGGCGATCGACATATACTATTTTTCTTTCATGAAGTATTACTAAAAGTAATAATGGGTATATAAATCAAGATTACAAGTACTTAATTTTAAGCACCTGTTCGATGCACAAATGAGAACGGAATATAATACATGTACACTTTTGTCCTTACAATACTAATTCGTATAAATGTTTTGACATTTCTAAATAAAAATAAAAGGTCTTACTCATTCAAATTGATCCGACATTCCTGACTTTCATTATCACTATAACATTCATATTGTATATGCATGTCACCAATCTGCAGACTATCATAATACTATTTTCGAATTTCAAGTTTAACACCTGATCACAAACATTATAAGCGTCCACAAAAAGTAACGTTTCTGTTTCTTTTCTCATTTTATGATTGTACAGCAAGCCTCAAGCTTCGTGGGGCACCACACGAAAAAATGAAATTACGACAAAGAGACTTCTTTCGCAGATACGAAAATACGACAACGTGGTTACATAACCCAAATCATCTACCATACTTAACACACATTAATTAATGACGATTATTCAACGTTTTACGATTGATTACAGAATTATATTTATAAGTTTAATAAATTGATTCTAATCACTTTACTACAACGACTTTGAATTTTATTTTATTACTGGCACACTTTTGAGGTAGTTTTATAAGACGGGTCTTGTGGATATCAAAAGAACAATTCAAGATCACATTTTGTAGTTAAGCAGTTTTCGCAATGCCTTTTTACTGGCGCATTTACTTGTTGTTGTTTTTGGGGTTGATGTTTATGACAATCAATGGACACAATAGATTTACCACTTCCTAAAATGTTTCTTCATATCGCACATTTTGTTTAGACTAATCTTTCTTTTAAGGATGTATAGGATATTTTTCAATATCTGAACCCTTAGACCTGTTCACGACCAGTCAAAAGCAGATAGACTAGACAAGACTTAATGTAAAAGACTAGGTTTTGAACATCTTTTGATTTGATGAAATTTTTAGTTATTTCTGTTGATCAAAGAATGTTAATTTGTAAGTTTTTGCGAAACTGAACAACCGTGGTTCTTTAAGTATTTGCACTTCATCAAAAGTAATAATCAGCAACAATACTCAATTCGTTCTAATTATGGTTGCTCTTTAAAAAACTGAATGTGTACAGTCATGTACTTATACATCATATATCGCATCAAATGCAAGGTTATAAAATGTTTTGCAAGAACTTCGCGCTTTTGAATTATAAAACTATCCTTATTAGTCGGTTAAAAATATCGGACGATTGTCAATTACGAGGTGTAAAAAATTAAATTTGTAATTAAAAATTCTTTAAGTATTGTTATTGTATTTAATTTTGTTTCCTTCTTGATTTTCTTGTTATATAATAAGCATTCATGATTAATGATGTTTAAAGTCGTGTAAACATGGATAAAATTGGTAATCGTACTTCTTTGACAACATAAGATTTTTTACATAATATTAAGAATATATTTTAACTATAGTCTTATTGCACGTTGATGTTTTATGAAATTGTTTTTTTAAATAATTGCTTATTATACTTTTTATTTCAGTATCCCAGCTTGCTGATTTTCTGGTAAGTATGATTTTCTCGATAAATATAATAAACTGTCGAATTGTGCACTTTGTGTATACTGTAACAATTAGAATATATTTTATATATTATATAATATAAGTTTACGTTTGCATGCATTAATGAAAACACAGACCAAGTGTTACATAACAGGTTTCTTTAATATGTCTGCTTAGTATAATATGATATTTATATTTATATGATTTACAATACATACAGTAATATCTTTTGAACCGTACATTTTACCATCTTTTTATATCTTAATGAATCATGAATATTTAAAGGAGTGATATGCTCTAATATTATCCTATTTCACCTCATTTCCATTTACTTGTTATTATATATTTGACTACTTGCATTGAAAGACATTTCGCACGCTCTCTGCAAAGATTACCACATTACAACTTATGCGACATTTATCATGTTTGTTGAACAAGCAAATAAAAGCAAAAGGGACTGGTGTCCGCCATTTTGATTCTTTCTAAACAAACATACATTAAAGTTGTTTCTTTAGATGTAAAACAAACTTCATATTCTACTTCAAAATTCCCGTTCTTCACGATAATTGAGTACAAAAAATTACCATGGATTCATCTTAATTTACCAGGGAAACACCTTTTGTGATATTGATAGAAAAAAGAAAAAGAAAAAAAGAAATAAATTTTAATACTTTGTTTGACTGTCATAAAGAATTTTATAAATAAATTTTAATGTGGTAATTGCTGCTTTACAGCACACATCCTCGTTCAATTTAGACCATTCAGCCTAACATAAAAAGCTATATTTGAATTAATAGTATCACAATCATTCTTTTTCAAAACCTAATTTGGGATTGAAACTCCCAATTTCCTGTTTCAATATATGTATTTAAAAGACTTTTACAAAATTTTATAATTTCCTCATGCTTTCATAAGTATTGATAGGGTTTTTAAAACCCCTTAATTCGCTTTGATATCTTTTACGTTGGAGTGTGCGAAATATTTTATTCTGACTTCAAACTTCTAATTATAAGTAAGTTAGTCCTCATTAGACTTTTCGATATTTGAAAAAACAACTTCATTCTTTGTTTCCAGATTTTTTCATTATGTGTTGTTATTATTGAAGATATGAAATAATCAGTATTAAGTCTTTATGGTACTGCGTAATAACATAGCAGGACGTGGTAATATCCCGTGTAATACATAAAAGCATTTCATTTTTTAAAAAAAAAATTAAATGGCCTGGCCATTCTAGCTTTTGTCAGTTATTTAAATCAAAATATTATTTAAAGTGACATTATGACAATCCAAGTATAAATGGTGAATGCACAGATTTAAGAAGAAATAACCTTTCGATTTGCCATATTTGTGTTCGCATAATGTTTCACTGTGCAAAATAATATATTATCGACCTGGTCGACTGTAAGTTATATAAATGTCGTTCGGACTGTATTCGTAACGTTCAATTTATAAAAAGAGTAGGACAGTCTTTTTACAAGTTAGGTAATTTTTATATTTGAAGTCATTTTAATCATAAAGTATTCAATTTGGTCAATCACCATTATAGTAGTAAATCTTCTGAAAGAAATTGCTAATAAAACTTAATTTTGCAGCAAAAAAAAAAATGAACATAATGTCATTTTCAACACCTGTGTTACAGAATCATTACACTTTGACGAAATGATTTAGCACTGACTTTGAAAACAGTTATAATAATCTTATCTACTGTAAAGCAATTTTACGCTATTTTACTTTTGACAGTATCCTTTGATGTTAAAAGATATGGCAATCAATAGAAAAAGGTTCAGAAAATATTATATTACATAATTGCCAAAGGGACTGAACACTGGTATATTATTAGGCCCGGTATCAGTAACTCATAAATATATTCACATGTATATATGACTGGTTTGTTTCCAATATCATAACAACTATTACTGTTTTGTCCGTTGGTATATCGATTGTTGTCATATTGTATGCTTCAGTTTTTACAAATTTAGCTATTAAACAGTGCATGTAAAAATGAATAATATGTTTAAAAGTATACAACTAAGTCAACTATCGTTATCTCGACATCGCTTTTCTCGATATTTCGTTATCTCGATGAAATTTTGAAAGTCCCGATTTTCTTCCTTCTTTATCTATATTGGAAATATTTGTTTATCTCGATATTTTTATTTCGATATTATCAGTATCTCGATGTAAAATTTCAGCCCCAACAGTTATTTTCACACTATTATCCTTTGTTTATCTCGACTTATAGTTTTCTTTCGTTTGTTCCCTTCAGACGTGTGAAAAACACAAACTAGACGATAATTGCTCAATAGCCTGTGTCATAATGATGATAATGTTTGTAACAAGTTTAGCTATCTTTATAAAAGTTAATCTATTTAGCGTGTTGATTGACTTATGTCCAAAATGAGTGAATTTTGCGTTCTTTATAAATATTCGAACACTGTATTAATTCATTATGACTTTAAATGTAAATAAAATAGTGAAAGTATAGAAACGCTATCGTTGCAATATTGTTTCGCAACATCACCACCAACACAATCAGCGGTCGAACAATCTCGAGAAAGACCCGATAAATAACACGGGAGGATATCCGGATCAACCACCCTGAAAACAATGTTTTCACTATATTGGTGTATTACTGAGTAAACCTCACTATTTTTTTTATCACAGACACCCGTATTTCATTTGGTAAAAATCCGCTTATGTTACTTTGTTAAATATTGGGTAGGCCTATGAAACAAGACTTGGGGATATCATAGTTTATTTGACATAAGGTATGCACATGTCTTTTGTAAAAATCGGTTTCTGCCTTATTCAAACCCTAAAATGTTTATCTCGACATTTCGTTATCTCGATATTTTTTGGACGGTCCCTATGACTTCGAGATAACGAGAGTCGACTGTAGTCTTACTGATGTTTTTTTTCTTGCGAAATAAATTCTAACATCGTTCAATATCGTTATCGGATATTTCCGGAAAGTTTTTTTTTCAAACTCTTTGGCATAATATTATTAACAAATACTCATCCTTTATCGCCATGTACTTAATTCGGTTATTAACGGTTGATTATTAATGAATACCAAATATTTTGAAAAATTACATTTTGAAAATGACTGTTTTATTACAAAATTGACCGATGTTAAAAATCATTTCAGTAAGATTACCTTTATTAACTCACGTAATTCATTTTCCTGAATGCGATATTAGAATTGAATACAAATAAAAAACATCTGTATACTTAAATATTTAGCAAAATATTAATGTTGACAATGTCTGTAAGCGCCTAGGTGAGAAATGTTTTAACTAAAAGATGTTTTTCAAACAGCGTATCTCTTACTAATTAATTTAAGAAATAATTAAAGACATTTAATGATAAAATATGACATGTATATTAAAAACAAAAATGAGATTAAATGATTACTGGGACTGAGAATTTTATAAATTAAGTATCTCGAAATACATAATTGAATATATTAACAAGGGAAGAAAAAAATGGAGACAAGAACGATCGAACGAAGGCAAGATGTAATGAACGAATGAATATACGATTGATGGTAAGGGCAAAAGAAGGAAAACAAAAGAGAGAAAGAACGAAGGAAGAACGCACGATCATATAAAGGATCAAACGATAGAAAGAAGGAACGATTAAAGGACGAGGAACTAAAGAAAGAAGGAATTAACAAAGGAAGAACAACGAACGAAAACGGACAAAGGAAAGACAAAGAAATGTATGAACTAATAAATGAAGACAGGAAGGAAGGTATGGACGAAAGAAGGAAATAAGGAACAAACGAACTAACGAAGGCAGGAATAACGAAACAATAAACAAACAAAGGAAGGAAGAACCAAAGAACGATAGAATGATAGAAAACGTGAAGAAAGGAAGGAAATATAGAGAGGGAAGGAACGAAAGGAAAAAGAAGAAACAATCAAACGAAGGAACTAACAAATGAAAAAAGAATGAACGGACAAACAACAGACGAACGGACATACCAAGGAGGGAACGAAAGGACGAATGACTTAAAATGGACGAAATATGATTGAATAACTACTTATCATAGCACCGGCTGCTAAAGTGTTATAGTTATACATAATTATGTTTATGGTATTTTTAGTTTGTTTAAAAGGTTGGTTATTAAGAATTGCTAAAGCTAAACATGCGTGTTTTTGCAAGTATTTTGTTACACTCATAGGTGTTTGTTCATACTCCGACCGTAACATGAACTATTTGCTTAGGAATTACTACTGAATATTTATGAATTACTATTGAATATTTTCCCAGACAGAAGCAATGTTTAACTTGCTGCACAACTTTGACTTTCCTTGCTGCAAAACTTTGACTTGCTGCGCTACTTGGACTTGATACAGTATAAAACTTTCTAAATAATTTTGATTTGTTTCTGCAACTTTGAGACTTGCTTGTATTGCTAATATAATAGTGTCCTTGCTGCATAGCCTAGACTTGCTGCACGACTGGGGCTTACTGCATAAGATGAACTTCCTACAATGTTAGAGATTCTACACAGCCTAGGTTTTCTGCAAAACATCAACAAACTCCTTAATTTGGACTTGTTGCATACTTTTGTCTTGCTGCGCTTCTTAGACTTCCTATGTGGCTGCTCTATTTAAAAGGCACATCTCACTTGTTCACAGGTTAGCTTATTTCATAGGAAGAGGAGCTCACTAATAATTGCTCATTTCAATCGAAGCAGACCTCTTTTATCAGGATCCTAGATTTGCTGCGTTGCTTGATTCCTTCATAACATGAATTTCGCCAGGTGTTTTGCTGACGGAATGAGACTTTAGCTACTTAAAACGATTTTTAACCATTTTATTATGGTTTCGTTCATAGTAAATTGTTTCTACCTCTACTATTTTATTTTCAATTTCATGTCATATAAATACACATGCGCGAACCGAATAGAACACAACAATTATAACGTCACTTCAAAATGGCTATTTTGACAGGCAAACGCTTTACATCATTCACATTGGTCTTAACAACAAGCAA